ACCAACCATCACAATGCAGCTCTTCCAGACTCTCCTTGCAGGCGCGGCTCTCATTGCCGCCGTTGCTGCTGAAAGGCCCGCTTTCACCTCATTCCCCAAGGACCTGAAGGTTGGCCAGCCCGTTACGGTGACCTGGGCTGGAGGCAACCCTAATGCTGTATGTTTTCCATTCTTCATTGAAAATGCATTGAGGAAGACACAGTACTGACACACCATTTATTAGCCCTTTGACATTACTTTGCGCCAGGGTCCAAGTGACGACCTCCATGATGTCATTGTCGTGTGTGGTAAGTCTTTTAGCCGAGTGTTATGATATACCCAGCGCAAAAGACAGATACTAACATGATATCAGCCCAAGCAACTGGCGGCTCCTGCACCTTTACTCTGCCTTCATCCCTCCCCTCAGGCGCCAACTATGCTCTCCAGATCAAGCAGGGTGGTGACGTCAACTACACCGGCCTCTTCAGTATCTCTGGCGGCCACGGTACTCCATCGTCTGCCCCTGCTTCCACCACCACTGCCGCTCCTTCGTCTAGCTCTTCTGGCGAGCCCACAAAGCCAGTAACCAAGCCAGCCGTTACCTCCACCACTCATGCCAGCATGACCATGACCAACTCTGCCAACCATACCACCATGACCACCATGACGAGCAAGCCCAGCTCTGCCACCCCAAGCATGGGAACTGCCACCACCACCAGCGACCGCAACACCACCATGTCTTCGCAAACCCTCACTTCCCAGTCCGAGAGTGCTACTTTCACTCCAAGTGCTACTCCAACTGGAAACGCAGCCTCCCTGACCGCCTTGTCCAGCCCGCTCGCGCTCATCATGGCCGGTCTCGTCGCCTTCGCTTATCTCAACTAAGCATCGCGCTCTTTCTGAGCTCCGAACATGGAAGACGTCCATCTCCTGTTCACCACTTTTCTTATTTGTCGCTATTGATTTGATTCTGATTGATGTGCCTACTTAACTTCTTAACTGTGTCCACCCTCTATTTGCATGGCTGGCTCTTCACGATGTGATTTGATTGACCGATTGATCCTTGAAAAACCTCTTATGCCATTACTTTTTGCTCTCTCTACCTCTTCTACATTTACTTCTTAAACTTTAATACCTTTTCTCTTCTTCGGTGGGTGGGCTCAATCCTCTACCTTTTGTTTTTATTACCATTTGCGACGGAGTTTGATCGATGATTGGATGTACATAGCGGAACGAGACAGGACAAGGACACACACACACACACACACTACCTCTTACCACCACATACTCACATAGTACTGTACGCTGCATTTATCATGCTATCCTAACAAGCTGTTACCTTTTTTTCTTCCATCTTGCAAATCTCCTTCCAATCGAGTCTTTGCCTCCTATCTGTCTCCCTCCTGCCTTTCAGTCCCTTCATCAATCAATTCCACGTATCTTCATCTCGTCCAGCCGAACCTTATTGCTTTTTGCATTGCTCGTGTTGCCGTGCTTTGGGCGTGCTTGTGCACCAGGCTTGAGCCATCCATCTCTCCCGCCTCCATCTCCCTCCCCAAACTTGACTCCTTACCGTCCTTATTGAACTCTATCCCATTTTGCAGCGTTGTGCACGTTTGGTCTTCCCACGGCTATTGGGTGGCAATGTTGGACGAGAGTGGAGAGATTGATTTGATAGAGGGTGGACGAGCAATATATTTATATCATTTATACGCGGCGGCGCGTACGTGTAGATGTCTGATATAGAATGCTCAGATAGCCATCTATGCTTCAACGAGATCAAGACGGAACAAGATAGAAACTAAGCCTTGCAGTCAGCCCGCACCTCTTAAGCTCTGATGTCCTCTTGTTCATGTGCTGGGTATCCGTGGCCATTGGTGTGAGTGAGATTGGTATAAGGGGTTGTATTTTTACCCCTGGATTCCCTACCATCCCACGACAGGCATCTAGTGACGCCAAAAATTCAGTGACCGGTTAACATCTCTTCCTGTTGTTCATGTGTTTGTTTACCGATGGTGCAAGCTCACGTTCAAGGTATCGTTGCCGCGAGTTAATTGATTACGACAAACCGTCATCAGCATATTGATAGGGTTCGACACGGGTATCGAGCCTCGAATTATGATTTCAAGATCAAAGCTCATTATTACTTACAGCTTCTCCATAACTGCTCCATATAAAGTTGTCGATGGCTTGCAGACTATCTAGTATCTTGTTCCCCACAGTTGTGGCTGATATATTATATGCTCCTGTTTGCGGGAGGGCTATTCAATGGAAGAAGAAGAAGCTTCAATTAATATAAAAAGTTATCGGCTTGAGGGGGTAAATCGGCCGACTTGCTACTTCCTCGTTATATCCTGCTCTTGAAATTAATTATTGTATAAAACCAGCTTTCAGATCATAGCGAGGACTAGGATTGAGGATAAAAGGAACCTAATCCTCGATTGTCGGCCAGAAGTTAGTTCATGCGGGGGCGAGGGCATGTTTCGTATTTGATTCAACTAAAGGCGGATGAAACAAAGCGTCATCCCTATGTCCGTCCG